GACTAGTGTTTAGAGCTGTAGTTGGAAGATCTCTGTAATCCAACGAGCAGCAACTTCTGGGTCTGGCGAGGGACAGAATGTGCTTGTGATCCATCACAGAGTCTGCCTGTGCACGATGCTCAGCAAGGGTGCCTTGTGTGCTTGAGAGTAAGCTTTAAGTATATGGAGAGCAGACTTGATTGCAGCTTGTGTGCCTGTAGAGTCACCAGGTCTGGGATGGAAAACCCCTTTCTGGGGAAAATTTAAGCCAGTGAGCTTAAAACCTCTCTAGGGCATTTGCATTTCTTGTTTCCCGTCTCTGTCAGTATTTAATCACTAATAAACGAGCAAGAAAAAAGCAACTGAATTGAAATGAAACCACTAACAAACTGACCCCTTGGAAACATTATGGCAACAATGATAGGAGTGAAGCAAGGCTGCCTGTAACCTAACCTTGGCACATGTACGGCATTCTGCAAAGTGTAGTCCATGCACCTGAATTCTTCTGGAAGATGCTGATGTTTACTGTGGTATCTCTTCTTTGCTCCTGCCCTTACATTTGTGTTGTTCCAGTGCCTGGCAGAGGAAGGGTGCTGTGTCTTTAAAGCCTTCTCAGGGCTGTGCAGAGGCAGTTCCATTGAAGTATTTGAATGAGAGCAGGAGGGGGGGTGTGCATGTGGCTATTGGCAGAGCTCTCTATGACATCCCTCTGAACAGCTGGGCTCTGCTTTGCTTCAGAGCTGCTTGTCAGAGCAATTAGCTTGCTGTAGAAGCAGCAAAGATCGCTAGCATTTTATTCAGGGTTGAGAGCTGGCGGGGGCTTCTAAGAAGCAATATTATCTTGGCAAAATCCCTCTTGAACTGGTTGTGGCAATGAAGTTTCCGTTGAAATTGGGAAACAGATGACCTGCTGAGAGTGCAAAACCACCACGGTGAGTTTATTTTTAGAATAAGTCTTTAATTATTTTGGGCTTGAGAAAGATAGACCAGAGACTTGACTTTTCCTCTCCTCCTACCCCCACCATGCAAAATACAGTATAGGTATAAATGCAAGTGAGTGTTTCAGGGATGAGGACCTGACATCATTCATCTCTGGTGAGTGAGTGACAGGATTTCTGCTGCTTGATGGGGTTAATTTAAAATGGTGCTGTACTAAAATGAATATGTGGCTCTGTGATCCCATTCAAGACTTGAGAGTGTGAGATGAGCTTTCTCCTTCCTCTCTTTTGTGATGCTGGGGATGCACCTACAGGAGACAGGGGAATCCCCGATAAGCATACTGTACTCTTCCATGTCATTAAGGAGTTCCCTGTGACAGTCTCATGGGTTCTCCTTGTGTCTTAGCTTGGTGTTTATACAGCTTGCTCCTGGGTAGTTTCTGTTCATTTTGCAAAGACAAAATACTCCCTGCTTTCTGCTGGGTTATACTTTAAAGGATTTACTTGTTTGAAGCTGGCTAGTTGATGAGAAATGTTGACTAGTTAATTGGCTACGTGCCATATGATGTTTTCAGGTTAGCTTATGCAATTTGGTGTTCTGTAGGACTGTATTTGTGTTCACATATATATTAACCCCATTTTTTAATTATTTTAAACCTATCACCGAATTGGGTTTGGTTTTAGTGGAATCAGGAGTTTGGATTGCCTTTACATCCTTCTCACACATGTTCATCATCCAGTCTTGCCTAAAAAAAACAAGATACTGGAAATGGTGCTCCCTTCATTTGAGATTTAGTCCTAGGAGCTGGTGTTCTTGGCTTGAGGTATTAGCCAGTTACTGTACTGCAGGATCTTCATTCAGGTGCGTTGGACCGGTTTCCTTTCCGTTCTTGTCTTTAAAATGCTTATTTAAACTGGAAGCATCACCTGTGGCTTGAGGATCTGCAAACAGCAGCAACAACTGCTGCAATGAATAGTGAGCACTTCAGCAGATGAAGGCTGAGTTCATCTTGCTGAAGGCTGTGGGAAAGTGGGAAGGGGAATACCTTACCTACTCTTCAGACTCCCCCTTCACTGTCAAGTCCAACTTTAGCAGCTGGCAGCCAAAAGGTGAAGTTGATTTTTTTCTTTTAATCATCACTCCCCTCTTTGTTCAATGATCAAATCAATTTCTGGATCCCACCTGGAAAACAGCCACAGTGTCTTTTATTTCCTGTGTACCCCTTGGCTACTTAGTGTGTCAAGTGGCTCAGTATCCTCTGCCAACATGGTGAGAAGCAGGAGTAACAGCCTTGAAAACAGAAAGGGGGATATAGATAGCAGCCCTACTTTTTGCCTTCCTCCCAAGGAGGTTTGCTGGGAGCTGGAATGCTTTGGGTCTGATTAGTAAAGTTTGAGGATCTGCTTTGCCAGCCCAGGTCAGCTCAGGAATGGTAAGCTGGGCTGGGGAATACCTTGCTCTCTCAGCCAGCTTTTTAAAGTTTGTGCTTATGTTTCTGACTGGTGAAGGCACAGCACAAGAGAAGTGTGCCAGCAAGAGGATAAGAGCTATTTCTAATGTCATGCGTTTTTCCTGAGCCTGGTTGCCACCTCCCTATCTGCAGGTGTCTCCTACCTGATGTGGTATTTCATTATGGATGGGTTCAGGTGGAAGGAATTCTGCTTGTGGTTCTCTGAAAGAATTAGGACATGTGTCAGTGGGAACTGTGCCAGGGTTTTCCTCTGAGCCATGGAAGGGTTAACAGAAGTTCCTGTTCAATGCTATCCTATTGCATCTTGACACTGTAGAAAGTAGGTGGATAATTCCTTGCTAGCTTTTCAGGAAACCCCTGTGGTGGACAGCCCTCATTAATTGTTGCTGGGAAACTGCTTTGACGTCACAGGAGCAGTTCCCTGGTCTTTGGATGAATACAGGAATAGCTCGTGATGGGGAAGGGAAAACCGGTGTGAAATGGAAAAGGGAACTCTCTGACTGGGAGATTCTCATCTCAGATTTTTATCTTTTCTTTCTTCCACCGTTCTGCCTAGGGACCCTCAGAGGAACTGTCCACAAAAATTTACAGTGCTATGTTTGCACCAAATGGAAGCTGTTCCTTCTCAAGAACTGTTTATATTGATGGCTTCTGTGATCCTTTCACTTTTTAACTGTTGGTGGGGTTTTTTGTTTCTCCCCCAGATTTTGTAAACAAGGGGTGAGAGGGTTCTTGCTTGGCTTCACTGCAGCTCCCAAAATAAAAGGAAAAGAGAAGAACAATGTCACTGTTTTGTTTGTTTTTAATGTCAAACAAATAATATCCCCTTAGATTAACAGAGGGGAGAGCAGAAGGACTGAAGATGGCTGCTATTGCTGTGAACTTCAGGCTAAGAGAATTTTTAAGCCTGAGACTGTTTAAACCCACTTTCTTCAGTATCATTTGAACTCTCTTTGCAAACCCTCCTGTGGTGTTTGTGCAATAGGTTCCTTTCTCCCAGTGTTGTCCTGTCCAACCTGTCAGCTTCCGGGAGGCATGTAGAGCTGTGGGCATCTAATAACTGTAGCAGGAGTTCTCTGCATCTCCTTTTCCATGCCTGCAAAATAGGTGTAAGCAAAGTTTACCCCATCCAGTTCAAAGTGCTTAAGAGATTTTTGTACCCAGGAGTGCTGTAGAGCAGCAAAGAATGTACTGGGTTGCTGATAGTCTGGTGTTTCCAGCTAGGGCACTAGAGGGCTTGAAATGCGAGTAAACTCTCTTGCAAAGAGCTGGTATCAAGGTGCTTCAGTGGTGAGACGGACGAGGCACCACTGTCGATGTTGAGCAGGCACTGCAAACAGAACTCCATTCTCCTTTTCTTGTCAGGTCACTTGAACATAAAAGCTATTCCAGTGCACAGTGCCGTAACAGTCAATAATGGATGCATTATTTTAAACTGATTTCTAATGATTTGTCATGGTTGCTTACTTGCACCTTCATGTGATACCTCCCTCCACACACCGTTTTCTCCTCTCAATGCATGTAAAAAGGAAACATGCCTCAAAAGTTGAGCAGTAAGCGTAGCTGGGGTGGGGAGGAGGCTTTCAGCGGGATCTGGGGATATTTACAGCTTCTGGCTTTGGTGCTGAACTGAATTATCTTCCCCAGGAGATCTCCAGCATGCCTGAATCCAATGATTGCCTTCTTTCTGTGTTGTCAACTTTTCGCAGCAGAAATGAGATGGGAGCTCTGATGTTGCATAGCATATAGGCTGCTTTGGGAGTAAAAAGGAAGGACCTGAATATGCAGGCAATCAAGCTGGATTCTCTGAACACATTGGTCAACTCTACATTGAAGTTTCCTGTCAGGCATATGGCAACTCTTCCTGCTGCTACTACACCCAATCAGCAGTTTTCATGTATAGGGAAAAAAAAACAACACACTTTTACTTTGTCATCTTGCTGTTTTCCTTTGGTTGTGAGCCCCTGAGTCCCCCAGCTGACTCGGTGATGGCAGCTGACTAGATGGTGCAGTGGACATTGCCACCTTTGTATTCCTGGCAAATGAACAGAATCTGTGTTACTTCACTGACATGTCATTTCTCCCCTCTGTGTTGGTTCATGTGGCAAGGATGTTTCCGAGCATTACACCTGGGGGTGGCAGGACATGCTGGGTATGCTGGGATACCCTCTTAACTGTAGTAGGGAATCCTTCCTTGGTTTGATACTTTCTCCCATTCTGAAGGATCAGGGCTCTGTTATGAATGGAAGTTATCTCCTTTGCTGCTGAAATTCAGCCACCTCTGATGTGAAAGATAGCAATTTAAGTTGCACAAAAAGAATAGTGTGGCCTTTGGGGCAAGAAGCAAAGATCTGTCTTGAGTGGGAACATCTGGAATCTGGAGGGGGAAAGAAATTAATTGTTCTGCTTTGAATTTTTCTATCCTGAGACAAGTGCAAAGGGTTCTACCATGAGCTTTTTATTCCACAAGAGGCTGGATCTCAACACAACAGGCACCAGATTAAAAACTGCAGAATCCCCTGCAGAGCGTGTGGAGGCATTGGGTAGGTGGTGGGACACATTCATGTTTCAGACTTGGTTCAACAGCATCTTCTGTTTCCTTCCCTCGCAGGGAAGAACGAACACCTCTTCCACTCCTAAAAGGACTTCTGCCTTCCATGTGCTGCCCAGGGCACTGCGTTGCTTACCTTACAAGATCTGATGAAGTTTCTGTCTTAGGCCCAGATGTCGTTCTTCCCATCCTGTATGAGGGCCTTGTTCTCGTGTTGATGAAATGAAAAAGCAACCATGACTTGAGTTAAAGTGGCATTTTCCTGATTGTTCGGTGCAATGGAACTCGTCTGGTGAAACCGTCCTCCTGCCTGGAGCACGTCTGCGTGGCAGGCAATTACCTCTGCTGTGTGCTCCCTTCACAACAGCTGCTCTGCCTCATGTGTTTTCATTTAAGTGGTGCTTTTTGTTTTATCTTCTGCTGAAATGCTCATTTTCAGTGAAAACTACTCCATTGTGTCTAGGCAAGATGTGTTGTTTTAATAGCAACTCTCAGACTGCAGTAATGTAGATGTTTACCCATCCCCAGGGTGATGTGGTCCCAAAGGCTTTGGCAAGGGAGGCCCTGCTGCATTCTTATTGCTTCCATGCCTGCCTAGGGACTGTGGTGCTGCCTGTTATTTTGATGAACTAAGATCTCTGGATAGAGTAGGTAATTCACAAAGGTGAACCTGCCCTGGGGAGGTGGCAGCCTGCTCATGAGAATGCCATTTGTCAAACGTGCAATGAGTCTTCAGCATTGACGTGTCCTTCCTGAGGCAGTGCTGGAAAGGCCCTGGTACTACAGTGTGTGTCCTGCTTACTGCCTTCTAAGGGGCCAGACTCAGCTGTGACAGCAGCATTCTGGATAGAAACCCTGAGTTGCATCCAGGTGGAAATGGCAGGCTATTAAAGTTTGGCTTTTCAAAGCCCATGGGCAAAGCATGCTGTATCTTTTTGATTCTCTCTTTCCTCAGATGCCAGTGCATCTTTATTGTCCTGGCACGTTTGATTCCTGTGTATCACATGAAGATGACTTTGGCAGTCCTGACAGTTGTATCACACTCCTGGAGTACAGTAATAGCAAATTGACACCTATCCTGATTTTAGTGCTTGCATTGATTGAGGGAGGTAACAAAATAACTGATTATTTTTTTTCCCCCTGAAATTATCTTGTGGTTTGAGATGTTCTACATAATGAAATCCATCCACATACTGCATAACTGAGAACTACTGCCATGGTGATAATTCAGATGTTTCCCATAACAAGCCTACTGGCTATTGTGCCATTTAACAGGGCTGACTGCACCTGTACTAGTGAACAGCCTTTTTAAAGGTATTTGAAATGAAGAGCTCTAAGATTACATCTCTTCTCCAGGCTCCAAATTCCTACATTCAGCCAGAGACGCAGAAGCGAACCATGGCCACCACAGCTAGGCTGTTGCAGACACTGGCCTCTTCCTAGGGGTTACGGTCGGTGGAACAGGCCCGATAGCCCCTGAGCTTTAAGCCCCTCAAAACCAAGTGGGCAGTGGCTGCTGAGGTGCAGAGATGGGTCCCTCTGAAGGGATTCTCTTGTAGCAGCCATGCCTTACAGCACAGATGTTAGTGAACAGCCAGGAGAGCTGTTAGCACCTTAAGCTGCTGCAGCCGTTTGCTCAGCAAATGAGAAGTAGAGCTTGATATGGGGGCTTTCCTCAGCTGTGGATGATGGCAATTTAACTGGTGTTGTCTTCCTTCCTCGGAATTATTTGGGAGGGATATGTTGGAGACCTGATATTCTGCAGAATTAACTTAGGGGGCTTTCTATCTCACCTGCATTTCCTGTCTCATTGTTCATATAAGGTTATTTCCCCTCTTTCCACCTGAAGTCAAACCCTTCCATCTGCATCATAATTTCACCTCTTTGATGTAATGTGGGGGTGGAGATTAAGATTTAAAGCAATGACTAAGCACTAGGAGCCTATGCACTGTGCAGTCAAATACTTGTGGCCTGCTGGTTTTCTTTTTTCCTAGGTTTTGTAGGAACTGTATGATAGTGAGGAATTAAACCCCTCTCTTCAACTGATAATAAAAAAAGCAATGGAGAGAATTTGGGAGAGGTTAGTTCATCGGCTGAGACAGTTGCAGCTTATGAGTGTTCCCAAGTAAGGTTTCAGGGCTTTCTCACTGAACCAGGTGCTCGTTCTAGCTAGAGCTGTTACCTCTGATAGGGAGCTGTTTTCTCCAATAGGAGGGAAAGGGAATGTGCTTAAAAGGCTCTTTACCTGTTTGTTTTCAAGCTGAGGCTGCAGACTTTTTATGGGATGCTGGGGATGCCCCAGTCAACAGTGTTAGTGAAGGCAGCTTACATTTTGCAGAGCAGACTGGGAGCCCAAATGGAGCCTAGGAGGGAGATGTTTCAGGAGCTACGTGGCCTTTGTTGGTCCTACTAGCAAAGCCTTTCATTACAACCTCTTGTTGCATATGGTAGGTGTACTTTAATACAGCAAAAATTTTACCAGCTGCTGTGCCCTGGCAGAAAGGGAGAAGACAAAAGCCTCTCTGAAGATCCCTCGGTGCAGAGAGGGAGCACTGCACTGCCTGGTTTAGTCAGTAGAACCAAGGAGGCTTTAATGCCTTGAATTTGCAGCACCCTCTCCACCTTGCCGCCTCCACTTTTTCCTGTGAAAACCTTTTTCTACAGCAGACACTGTGCTTGGGAAGGGGAGCGAGGAGGGGGAATCTAAATCACCCCCCCAAACTTGTCTGGTTGCTCCTAGTGATAGAGCCTGTTGCCATGGAGCTGTGATTCCGATTGGTTGACCTGGAAGCCAATGAGCAAAGTGTTCATGAGAGCATCATCATTTAAGCTTGCAGGAGGTACTTACTCAGTGATATATGGTGCTAATACTAAAGCCTTACACAGAGGGATGAAGTGAAACACTCAGATGCTGGAAAAAGGCCACTGCTTTCCCCCTTCCCTCTTACAGGCTGGTTTGTTAGTTTTAATTACCAGTTGCACCAGCAAACCTCCCTTGGGCTGGGCTAGCCCTTCCTGCCCGGTTCTTCTCCTAGTGCTCAGAGTTGACTTTGATTGTCCATCAGAGCAATGTGGTGGGGACTGTCCTGCCCGCCAGTGAATCACCAGCCTTGGGATGTTTATTTCTGAGCCCTCAGAGCACTTTAACTCTGCTTAGCATGTGATTGGATGTGTTTTGTTTCTAAGTAAGCTTTCTTTATATTTTATAACCAGCCTGAGGATGGAGAAAGCTGCTGCTGTTATGGCTGTGTCTGGGTTTCTTCTTGGCAGCAAGGCTCTGCAGCCTTCTCTGTAGTGAAAACTCTGTTCCACTAATGTTGATGACCTGGGCTGAGTCTGATAAGATTTTTACTCTGCCCTGTCGAATGCCTTTTGGAGTGAGTCTTGGAAAGCAAAAAAAGAACTGGTTAATAATGAAGGGAGGAGGTGGAGGGGAAGTGAGTCAAGATTCTTGTCTTTGAAGCAAATTGTGAAGCCTGGTCAAGAAGGCTGCAAGCATGCAAACTTGCTCCTGTGGTCATGGCTTGGACAGGGACTGAGAAAGTGGAGCCCACTCACACTTGTTTCCTTTCCCCCTGAAAACTGAGAGGTAGCTTAACTGTCTTGCATGGTGGGATGAGCTACCTCGGATACCTCTATCCTGTTGCAACACTAGAGCGTGCATGTAGGCAGCTACAGCCAAGCAGCTGTATGTCTCCTTTGCACCTTCATTTAGCTCACAGGAGTGTGTCTGTACTCTGAGAAAGAAGGCTGGGAAGAGAGTTTATTTAGCAGTAGGCTTCCTGCCTTTCCCAGATTTGCTGCTGGATCCATCCTAACTGTAAATGCAGAAGTTTCTTGCTTTTGTTCCCTGCCAGGAACCAGGACCAACTGCTGCCTCCCTTGTCATGGCTTGGCAGCTGCAAATTGCATGTAGCAAGAAGGCAGCAGAGGTGGAGTTCAGTGTTCCCCTTCGGAGTGAAGAGAAGGATGTAAATCTGTCCTGGCTACCCTTTCACCTGGCCCTTTGCCAGCGTGCACAAAGTGTTCACACTGTCACTGCCTTGACTGGCCTGTTTACTTTGCCAGCCTCCAGACCCAAACCAAAAAAACAATGGCAGCTCACCCTTCTGTTGCTCCATTGTTCTCTTTTCTGACACAGATTTTGTGGCTTCCCTAATGTTGCATCTATGTAACCTTTTCATCTCCCTGGCAAGGCACAGCTCAGTCCTACCCACCCCACCAAGTCCTCTGAACTTCCACTTTCTCTGCAAGCCGCTGTCTGTCACAGCAGATCATGTCTGCCACCCCCTCACTGCATCCCACGTCTGTCCTGGGAGAGCAGGGCTGATTCATTCATACAGAAAGGAAACCTCCTCTTGAAAGCATCGCTATTGAGAAGCACTAGCAGTGCACATATCTTCTCTGAATTTTATATGCAAGGAAATATCCTGGAGGACTGCTGCCACGGACGGAAGCTTTATCGGGAGGGGTGTCGTGGTTTATAAACCCAGTTGGCAACTAAGCACCACACAGCCACTCGCTCACCCTCCCCCCCCACACTCGGAT